GGACGTGTTTTGATTGCTATTTGCCAAATTACTGCCGCTTGTTGTCAAGTAAGTTGGCACTCGCATGTCAAAACAAAAAAAAAAAAAAGTGTGCTTTTACTTCAAACATTTCCCCCCAGGGCGACGAGGTTTCTCTCCCACATCTTGTGCCTCCGGCACAAGATGGCTTCCAGTGTCGCGACTCGCTCCAAACAAACAACAGCAAATGATGATGTCACTTTTCACAGTAATGGGGACCTTGTCAAGCCGCACAGTGTGCGTGCGCACGCATGCGTGTCCCATTTAGCGGTGCTCCCTCAGCGCTCGCGGACAAAACCGCCATTGAGGCGTCTGCATGAACGAGCAGCCGGAATAAGACAAAGAGGACGGGCAGGGGAGGGGCCGGGCTCACCGGCCCCCTGCAGCCGACGTTGGACGCCGCCGCGTGTCGAAGAAGCTAACGCGTTAGCATTCTTGCCCGTTTCATGTCGTTTGACACCAAGCGCCGTTTGGTACAGCCCGGCTGCCACAAAGAGACTAAACAACAAGTGGCTGTCATCTTTGTGGAATTTCTCGGGGACTGATGCACGCCATTTTCTGGATCCAGATTGGCAAAAAGGGCTGCATCCGGCATGAAATCTTCTTCATCGATGACCACCAAAACGGAGCCCTTGGGCTGCCCTGACCCCAACGTGGCACATGTGTGATGACTGCCCTCGCACCAATCACAACAAGCGCGTTCGAGCTCAAGCACGCTTCCAAACTTTCTGCAGCCTGTGCCGCAAAACAAATGTTGCGCTCGGCTTCGTGGCGGCCACTCCCGCGTGAGCAAACAGGATGTAGGTCCTGCTCGCTGCTTCAAAGCTTGCCTGGGATTGGTCGCCACTCCAGGTAGCACCCACTCCTCCCAACCCGCTCCTGCTCCATTTTGTGCTTGATTGGTCCTGACCCACTTGGCCGCTTCAGGCCCGCCCAGGGAAGCTGCCAGCAAAATTAGCTTGCGCATACACACGCGTACAGTCACAAAGCGCAACATAGCATAAACACACACACCAAAAACACACATGCACACTCTTTGCCGCCATGTGTGAAATTTTCTTCAAAAATTTCCAAGCTGGCGCCCCCTGACATGCTAACACTGACGCTAGTTTCACACCTCAATGCCTCATGCTAACGTATGCTAAGCTAACAGCGCTAACCTCACCATGAAGTCCTCACCTCAACGGAGCCGTGTGTACGTGTGTGCTTGCGCGCGTGTGTTGTCAGCTGGAAACCCGTCCTCATGCACCGTGACCCCGCGTGACCCCACACGTCACATGGTGTATATCCTCATTGCTTTGTTCCATATCCTTGATGGCCAGTGTGAGGCGCACCCAAGGTGCAAATGTAGTCGTCGTCAACTTTAATTGCAACTGACTTAGTAAGATGATGTAACATGACATTTTTAAGGTCGCTGATCACAGTAAATTTATTCCAAAATGAGAAATTCTGGGACTGTGACAGCTGAGCTGCGATTTAGCAGGGTTTTGCTCAAGTCAGTTTTCATAGAGGATAAAGAATATACTCCGGTGAGTATTGTCATTCTCTGTCTGCATGTGTTGCCCCATCATTTGTGTTCAAATAGACTTTGCCTATGCAAGCGCAGCTATCAGTGTTAACTATTTGCGTATTAATGTTGTTTTCATTGTTTGTTAGCCTTACGATAGCGGGATTGTTCTTGTTTGCTTCTTTATGTCATTCTGTTTGTTTTGTGTTTAGGTTTCGAGTCAAACTTAAGCTGGGAGTGTCAAGTCACAGCAGGAAGATTCTTTTCGGGAGACTTGTTCACTAGTTTCCAAACCGGTTCTTATTGTTAATTAAGTTGAGTTGAGCCACTGTCACCATGTGGCGCTTGTATCTCAAGTTTTTTTTCTTGTAAGGCAAAGCAAAAAAATCTGCCTAGCGACTCCTCATTTCCCCAAAAACTCGATTGTCATGCCATTCGCATCTCAAGGCGCCAAAATAGCCAGGCCAAAGAGGCCGACTAATACATGCACCTTGCGCTGGATCGTGATGGAAGGCCACGCAAGGGAAATGTCATCTTTATCTTTTTTTTTTTTTAGGGAGGGGGCGGGTGGCGAAGGCAGACTGCTCGAATGTTCTGGGTGGTGGTGGGGGTTGGGGGGCGATGGTGTCAGCCATCGTTGCTTGCATGTTCTAGAATAAAGCGGAGCGCGCTCTCGCAGCGGACACGCGCGACACAAAGACGCTCGTCGCGAGAACCTGCTCGAAGGATTCCACGTGCACGCGCCGAACGACGCCCGCCGGCCCGCGCGCGAAAAAACACACATATACACACACACACACACACACACACACACACACACGCATACGTTTAGAAATAGAACACGCACATTGTGGAGTCGTACGTGCATGACCTCAAATGAAGACGCAGGCGCGCCCCGTGCCGCCCGCGCGTGTATGCCTGGCGCGTGGAGCTAAATGCGGTCCGGCCGGGTTTTTGGTCTGGAATTGTGGGCCTCGGCGGCGTTGGTTCTTACCTGCGTGCACTTGGAGACGGTTCGTTCTTCTCTCGGCTGGACGGCGCGCACGCAAGCACGGCTCCTCCTCGCTGTGCACGCTCACGCCGCTGGGGGGCGCGCGCCTGTGTTGAAACGGAGGCTGGCTGTCTGCCGTGCAAACCAGCGTTTTTTTTAATTCATTTAAATGTATTTACTCATCTTTGTTCTATTTTTTAATGAAAAATTTTGCACCACGCACTCTTTTATTTGTATTTCAAAAAAATATTTGAACATAAATGAATGAATGTGTCTTCCCCCACAAGCCTGTGTTGCTCTGTTCCCGCCCTCACACTCAGTCAGTCAACAGAACGGCCACAAGGGGGCGAAAAAACAACATTAGAGAAGAGAGACATTCACGGTGGCTCCTTTTAATTCTTTGTTTTCTTCTTCTCCTTTGCCTGCTTCATCACATTTTTCTGTTAATAATGTTGGACTTAATAAAACTTGGTAATTTAATCAGTGAAATATAATAAAAAGCATTAAACAGTTTCTGCATCATGATTTAATGCCGCAATCTTTCTGGTGTACCCGTCTTGGCCACCAGGAGGCAGTACAGTAAAATACAGTCAAACGGAGACCAGTCGTATTTCTTCTTCTACTTCAACCGCAAGCGAAAAGACTATATGCCTGTGGGTATTGTTATTGCTGTCTACAATTGCGACGAGCAATGCTAGCTGTTACCATGCCAATGGTGTTTTGCATTATGTGTTGGCATTAAGCTAAATGCATCTTTTGCCTTTGTTTGAAATACATAAACTGCAAGTCTTTTAATTTACTTTGTTTTAAAGGTTGCCATTCACAATAAAATTCCAATTAGATTAATTAATTCACTGCAGATGAAGAAATGCCAAAAAATACAATTTAATTACCCTTGTGTACGCGCGTGTGCTGCCGCCTGCTGGACAAATGTGAACCTGCCCCACGTGTTTCCATCCGAGCGTCACGTGCACTGCAGCAGCGCGTCACGTGATTCTCAACACGCACGCTCCGCGTGCTCAGAAACAGTCCTGAGAGGGGACGCGCACGCAGACGCAGGTGTTGGCGCGGCGAAGGCATTGCGCATGTTCAGTGGCGCCCGGGTGGCCGGCCGGCACGGGCAGGGGCGGGGCTGCGGGCGTTGTGCTCTCTTCTCCCACCTGACGTCAAGTGCACGCGCACGCGCAAAATCCGCGAGGAGGACGAACCAGCTGCGGCGGTCCGGTCGCTGTCGCTGTGCGCGGGCACCACGAGATGCTGTCACCGTCGCGATGGTCGTCAACATGGATGCGTACGTGCGAGTTTCCGTCCTGTGAGTAACTCTTCCTCCCCTTCTTCCGTCCGTCGTGCACAGCGTCTCACGCACGCGCTCGTCAGCATGCGGCTCCTTCAGAACCCCCCCCCCAGTTGCCCCCCAAACGCCCCCCAACATGTAATTGACGCAGCAGCTTTCTGTGTGCCATTCACACAACTTTTTTTTGTGCCTGCACGACTGAAGTTGCTGGCGTCTTCCTCATCGTCATCTTCATGTTTCCTCTTGGCCTCATCTTGAACTCTTTGCATGACCTCTACATGCTCATGCACACATTCATTAACGCGCCACTGCGCCCCCCCCCCTACATATTTCTTCATTCATTCACACAAATGTGCATATGTGTACTGCACAGAGTCTACTTGTTTTTTAAATCCTAAACAAGCTCCTCCCCCTTTTCCAGGTGCTGACTAGGGGTGCTTCATTGAACGGATATCCCCCCCCCCCCACACACACACACGAATCATCTCAATAACTTCCCACAAGGACACAAGCGGTGGAGGCAATGTCCCAATCCGGGAAGGTCGTCCACCTGTATGTGGAAGTCAGGTCTGCTTCCGATCCTAGTGTAGGGGGGAAGACATTTGGAGAACACAAACATGGTTCTCCTCTGAAACACTCGGGACTTAAGGACAATACTCGGGACCTCCTGTCCCAGCTCGCCAGCCGGACCCCCACCAGGTGTCAGACCCCCAGTCCTAAACTACTCCACCAATCTCCTCCAGTTTCTGGAAGGTCTCACCTCAATCAAGCCTTCAGTTCTCCCAGGGCATTCAAGCGCTGGAGTCTACCATGTGACATGAAGACCTCCACCAAGGCCTGCTCTGACAACAAAGAGGGGATTGATGGGAAGCGGTCTGTGGTCTCCTTCAGTTATGTGCAGAAGTCCAACGTGAAGACTTTAAGCAGTCCAGGGAACAGTCAGGAAAGAGGCACCCAGGTTCACAAAAGAGTTTGTGACCCTTTTTGGTATGATTCTTCATGCAGTCCTAAATTGACATTTCAACCTTCAGGTTTCCGACCCGCTCTGGACCCCGTTGGCAGGGCCGCAACTCGAAGGGCTTTGGAGCACTTTGGATCCCCGCTATTGAGTATCAAAGTGGCGCATAGACTGGAGCGCTCAACGTGGTCTCGGACCCATCACCCAGCCCGTTGTCAGTCCTGGTCCGGTTCTCCTGTCCTGCACCACAACAAAAACCGCGGGACATGGGGGTGGCCTTGGACTCCGGTTTCAGACCAGCAGTCCTCACAGTGCCAAAGTCCTCTTTTTCACTCCCAAAGACCTGCTGACTTGGCAGATGACGTCATGGGAGGCTTAAACCAGTTGAGCGGCAATTCTAAACGTTCATCCGGCCCCTGGATTCATCCCAAAGAATCCAGACCCGCTTCTCCACATCAGAGCCACAAGATGAACATCCCCGTCCACATGTCAGCTGCAAACCAGGGTGGGCGACCCCTCCACCAGTCCAACCAGCTCCTGAGCTGGGCTCCTGAGTCGCCCTCCCCTCCTCCGCGCGTCCACCGCCCTTCTCACCCTCCTACCGAGCTTGGCTCCCCCATCAGGGACCCTGGAGTGTCCCTGGGTAATCTCCGACCACCTGACAGTCTCACCCTGCATCGATGTCAGACACCGCAGTACACCAGCGCCAACCGGAGGGGCTCAGGATGCAGAGAGAGAGGAGATCACTCATGGTTGACCTCCAAACCCTTAGTCAGTCAGATGATTGAAGAGGCACCGGATAAGAGGCGGAGTAGCATTCTTTTCCCAGTCCCGGACAGCGACCAGGCTTGCGATGGGTCCGGCCAGCATGGATCTCTCAGCCCAACAATGCAACAGAAGCGAGCTGAGCAAAAAAGGAGAGAGCGCCTCCTACTGGGCCCTGTGGTCCTAGACTCCCCGGACGCGGACTGTGACTACCCTTTGGATGCCATGGGAGGATCCTCACCGGGCTCCAGCGGAGTCACGGGCAGTTTAGGGGAGCGGGAGTGCTTGTCACCCGAGTCCCTTCAGTCCGGCCACCAGGGAAACGAGAGCGGAGCCTCGACCTCTGGAATACAGGTGGGACTTGAATGTTGATTGTTTGCAAAACTGTTCCAACGTTTTGCAACCCGACTCTCACCCGTCTTTAGCCGAGTTTAGATCATCTGAGATGGTTTTTGGTTGTCGTTTGGACTTTTTCAGACGGACAGTGCAGCGCCTGTCCTGTCGCTACACTGTCAGAAGATCGCTCGGGCCAAGTGGGAGTTTCTCTTCGGACCCGAAGAGGGCGCCGGCAGCGGGCCCGCAAGTAATGGAGAACTCATTTATCATCTTGGTGTAAACACTGGAGGTGTTGGGAATCACTGAAGCGTTCCTCACTCACTAGGTCGAGAATTTTACAAAGTGGACCAAGATAGTTCCCAAAACGCTCTACAAGGGGGTTCCACCCACAAAAGTGAATATGGGAATGTGTGGTGGCAAACTAGCAAAAAAGTCCAACCCACAGTTGACTAGTTTACTAGAAGAGTGGCTAAGGAGTGAGGTAAACATCTCATCGAATTATTTTCCTTCTTCTTTTTCATGTAGACTTTGTGGAAGCTTCCACAGCACCCCCTAGTGGAAACTCCAGCGAGTCCCCCACCCCGACCCCTCCCTCCTCCCTGCCGCTGCTTGCCGCCAGTCAACATGTTCGACACGTGGAGGTGGAATTGGTGACCCCGCCCCCCGCCGCCGCCCATGTCGGGTGGTCCCCCGAAACGGGCGTCATCCGCCGCACCCTCAAGTACTCAGAGACGGACCTGGACGCCGTCCCGCTGCGTTGCTACCGTGAGACGGACATGGACGAGGTGCTGATGGGTGGGCAGGTGGACAAAGACTCTGCGTTTGGGAGTAACAGAAGTGTCCACGGGGAGGATCCTCAGGGCTCAGGCCTTAGCCCGTACGGTTTGGCTTTCGGGTCTTATACGGGAAGGGCTGAGGAAGAGGGGAGTCGAGAAGGAGAGCAGGTGGAGGAAGAGGAAGATGAAGAGGTGGTGAGCTGGGCGAGTGTGAGGATGCAAGGGGATGACAGGAAACAACAAGACGCAGCGCAGGAACTGGAACAAGGTTTCCCATGCATGAAGAGGTACGCAGCACACGACAAACATTTGGGCCGGCCGGCAATGGTTAAGAACCTCACCGTTGGATTCCATTTCCATTATTTATGTTGACATTCTAATCAATTCCATACTGATTGAAACCTTTTGATGCCCATTTGAATTAGAAGTCGAAATATACCAATCGGGCCTGCAGCTAATGATGACATTCATCACCCCGCTCTCCTCCTCGCCTCCATTGGGAATTTTTGATTCATTCACATTGATGCAGAAACAACACAAACAAACAAAAAAAAAAGCCAGCACAGGTGGCTATTGATACGAGGAATAACGCCACCCGCCGTTTTGTGTGCAGGGCGTCGGAGTGTTTTTTGGACGCCCGTCAGCCGGCTCTCAAGTCGCCCGTCCGGTTGCCGCATCGTCGCCGGGCCACCGAGGACGCCTTCAGCCGCCATTTTGAGAGCATCGTGGAGTCGGCGCGAGCCAAGGGGACGTCCTTCCAAAGCCTGGACGGCCTCGACCCTGCGCCCGACTCGGACGCCACGCGGGCGCCGTCCAGCGAGAGGCTGAGCGGCGGCTCGGCGGACATGCCGTCGTCCGTGCCGAGGTCAACTAATCAGCTCTTGCGCCTGCAGTTGTCTGTGGTTGTGACGATACGTCGTTGGCATAGATAGACGAACAAAAAGAATGTGTGGGGGTCGTCGGCAGGGAGGAGGCGGTCCAGCGGCGCGTGGCCAAGTGGCGGCGAGACGACAGCGCCGACGCCGAGCGCATGGCGCGACACCTTTACCACTCGGACGGCTTCCGCCGGGCGGACGCGGTGCAGCAGCTGAGCAGGAAGTGAGTGCCTGCGCCGCTGCATCCTGAAGCGTCGCCGCCTTCATTTTCTTCTTCTTGTCTTTTTTTTTGTTTTTTTGTGCGGCAACGATGACTTCAGCCGCCTGCTGGCAGACGAGTACCTCCGACTCTTTGATTTCTCGCATCTACCCCTGGACCAAGCTCTCAGGTGTGTGCATGTGTGTGTTTGTGTGTGTGTGTGTGTGTGTGTGTGTGTGTGTGTGTGTGTGTGTGTGTCTGTGTGTGTTTTCTCTTCGAGAACAGTCCTCAACTCTGACCTATGGAGGCCAGCTACAATGCTTGTGTGTGTGTGTGTGTGTGTGTGTGTGTGTGTGTGTGTGTGTGTGTGTGTGTGTGTGTGTGTGCAGAGAGTTCCTGAAGCAGGTGGCGGTGTCGGGGCAGAGTCAAGAGCGAGAGAGGCTGCTGCGACATTTCTCCCGCCGTTATTTGCTGTGCAACCCGACCGGTTTTCCCTCGGAGGGTGAGAACACGCAACGCAACGCCCTCGTACAAATGATGGCGTCCACATGAAATAGCGAGCGGACGATGGACGCTCGACACTCGATTGCTGCTACACCAAAAAAAAAGAAAAAAACAACAATAAACAAACATGTGACGTGATAAATTTGACATCAGGTGCAACATGGAGCTTATGTTAAAATGTGCAATTTATCACGTTGGAACTTTTCCTTTTTTTTTTTTTCTGTTGTGTCAGCAATACATTTGCCGTACTGCACAGTGAAGTCAAAATATGAACGATGAAAAATCTCGCGGCTTTCTTTTTCGGTAAGAACACGTCGCCGATGAAATGTTGCGTTTCTCTTCAGCTGCCGTCCACACGCTGACGCGTGCGCTCATGTCTCTCAGCGCGGACCTGCACGGCCCGGTGAGTTTCAGCGCAAAGTCTTGTTGTTCCGATGACATCTGCTGTGCACATGAAATGTGGATGTTGTTTTTTTTTTTTTGTCAGAATGTTGGGCCAAGATGTCCTGCGTGCAATTTGTCCACAACTTGGACGGACTCAATGATGGACGAGCCTTCCCCAAACATCTGCTCAAAGTAAGTCTTCGTTCCCTTTTCAGGGTCTCCTTTGAACCGTTTGCTCTTTTCGTTTGTCCTCTTTGTCATTTTTCCTTTTGTTCCTCTTGAGTTTTTTTTTCGTTATTTCCCCCTCTTTTTTTTCTCATTTTCCTCCCTGTGTTTTCCTGGTGTCTCTCCTTCAGCAGCGCCTAGTCCTCAGCCCCTCCCCTCCTTGCCCCCCCCCTCATTAGCCCGCTGTCCTCATTATCTTCATTTTCATTGTGTGCGAGCGCATGTGTGTAAACATCCCGAACGTTACCGCGGCTTCCTTCCTGTGTGCAGTCCCCAAGCGTTGTTAGTGTCCCCCCGCGTGGTTGCCACGGTAACGCGTAGATGCTATCAAGACCCCTCCCGCCCCCTCCTTTACGATCTTTGTGCCCGATCGCTATGGAGACGAGGTGGTGGGCGGCTGATCTGTCCGGCTTCTGGCTTCCTGTTTCTAACGAGCTCATTAGATGCGGTTTGTTTGTCGTTTCGCGCTAATGACGATCCCCAGTGAGCAAGCGTGGAGGCCCCGTTCTCCTTGGCGTTAGCGTCTCCTTAGTATTAGCGTCTCCTTAGCATGAGTCGTCCTCCGAAGGCCACGTGACGCGAGTTCCGCCGCGCACGCCTTGTGTCCAAACTCACGCGGCCTTCAAGTCTTGCCTTGACCTCTGGCCTTTGTTTCCGTGGAGACGGCCCTCAGCCAAGGCTGCTCTGGAGCCCACGTTGGTCGCCTACATTGCTCCGCTCTTCTTCTACGCTCGGCTTGTCCAAATTGGCGGCCCACGGCGGTTGCTACATGATTGAGGAGCCTGGCGAAGACCCCGCCTGCCAAGGTGAGGACCCTCAAGGACGCGGCCTACCAACTTGGACACAGCG